ATCTTTCATCAGAGAAATTGACACCCCAGGGTTCTGTTCCATCTAATGACTTGGCTGCCAAACAAAATAAACAGCGCTGTGGTAACTGGAACACGAAGCTCCCCCCTGGTTATGCTAATAGGCTTTTGTGGTTTGTGGATGCAAAAATCATTAGCTACTGAATCTTCTACCTTGATGAAAGGATTTTTTGATTCTATGGACAATAATGGTGGTGACTCTGCAGTCATTTTAAGAATGTAATTTCTGATAGGTTGCCTTCCTGCTCTGCCCCTTTGATTCCGGATATGCCGGGACCTTCAAGGTTACAGGTTAAAACTGTTCCGTTGTTTGCGGATTTAGATAAGAGGGACTCTATTTCAGGATCCATGTCAGATAGTTCCTTAGAGGAAGGAGAGACCTTGGATATGAGGGTGGGGGATTCCCGACCCTCGAGGCATCTTTTTCCTTTGGAAGACATGGATTTATGACAAGCCATATATGCTACAGAGCCAATCCCAGATCCACAGAAGGCAGTATCAGTTCAGCACTGAGTTTATAGAGGGCTGGTGGAAGCGCAAGGTAGATGTTTTCCAGTTCACCAGTCTCTAAAGCAGTCGGTGGAGGGAGAATGGAAGCAGCTGGAAAGGAAGTTCTTAGCTTTCAGATCCTTGAAAGGCAGATTCCCCTTTGCTAAGGAAAAAAATATTGTGTCCTAGACTTGATGCAGTTTGGCGCAAGTCTCGAAGAAAGCTGATCTTTCTTGAGTACGCAGGAAATATCAAAGATCAGATGGAACGCAAGGCCGAAGCATTACTGCGTAGAGCATGGGATTCTAATGCTTCTTCCATGGCTCCAGCAGTAGCAGCCATATGTGTGGTGCGCAATATGGACTTCTGGTTGTAACAAGCGGGCCTACATACTTCTCAGGGGGCTCCAGCAGAGTACTAAAAATCCTTCTGAGTGTTTGGAAAGGCTGTGGCTTTGACATGGGACTTGAAAAACAATTCTGTTTTGTCACTTATTCATTGTCCACGTTTTCATTTAAGCCCGTCCTAACAAAATGTACATTACGAGTTCCCCTCTGGTCCCGCGGGCAGGGGAGAAGCTGGCTCTAAGCTGCATCGTGGAGAAGTTTTATCCAAAGCCGATAGAGGTGAGCTGGGTGAAGAACCGTGAGGCGCTGACCGGTGTCACTCAGTACGGCCCCTTTCCCCGTGATAATGATTATTACAGTGTTTGGAACCAGATCGAGTTCGTGCTGAGCGAGAAAGATGACGGAGCCATCTTCATCTGCCAGATCACACACAACAGCTTGGGAAGTCCGGCGGAGGTTTCTTACGAGATCAACTTAAAAGGTGAGATTTACGGCTTGCTTCAGCTTGGTGGGAGACATCCTGTGTGATTAAATCCGAATGACAACATTTGATAGGTTTGCAATCCCCCCATTTTGTCTGTCATCTGAGACCTACTTCTGTCCCTTTGATTGTCGTACAGGAAATGATTAATACTCATTGGGACAGGAAGGTAGGCGGCAATACCTGTTAGAACATATAATCCAGTATTGTATGTCTTTGGAGACATTTTCCAGAACTTTTCCGACAGGAAGCGAGGGTCAATCTTCCAAATCAGAGCAGATTACAATAAGCCTTTTAATGATTGGCTAGACCAGGGGGGCCTTGGCTCTCCAGCTGTGGTTGAACTACATTTCCCACCAGGCATTGCAAGACTAGTAGCCACATTTATGACTCCTGGAGGCAGAGGCATGCAGGAATTTGTAGTTGAACCACAGCTGGAGTGCCCAGGTTGCCTACTGCTGGAAGAGACCCTCCAAAGGGTTGATTGGACTTGTATGGCCAGCATAAGTGAATATGTCAAATAGGGAATATTTATGCAAAATGGCCAGTTTGCAAATACGAGACATGCAAATCAAAGTATTCTGTTTCTGCCCCCAGGGATGCCGCCAGAAGTCCAGTACATATCAGCCGACCCTCCGGATCCTGGTGTTGGTGCGGAGACCCGACTCAGCTGTATGATTCAGAACTTCTTCCCTATGGATATAGAGGTGGTCTGGCTCAGGAATGGAGTTCAGCAGGACTTTGGGGTCTTCAACTCTCCCTGTGTGCAAAGCTCCCGAGGTCTTTATTCGATGTGCGCGATGTTAAAGTTTATTGCTCAGGCCGGGGATCACGAGAGTGTTTTCACCTGTCGGGTGCAGCATGTGGCTCTGAAATCCTGCCAAGAGAGAACTTACACATTGACTCTGTCTGGCTCTTCTGCATCATCATCAAACGGAAGTTAATTGCTTTTGTTAATTTTTATTTTTTTAATCTTTTTGTATATTTAAGGTATGTTTGCATCTGAAGTAAAATGTATCCCTTATTCCGGCTGGTAGGGTTCTTTGCTGAGACATCGGTAACAACTATACAGGTCAATTAAACTAGCGATCTGTCATGCATCACTCCTCTACGGATGGTGGGAATATTTATAGCTGGTTGCTTTTAAATATTCCCGTAGAAGAGCATTTTACGTTGTGTCCTCCATGGATGGATAAGATGCAAGGTAGGTGAATATTACTTCACTGTTAAAGGAGAACTATGAGATAAGTGATTTTCACTCACCTCATAGTTCTAGCCGACCTGTGACAATGAGACTGTCACAGGTCGGCTCAGTAGATCGGGAGGTGAGCCAACACATACCGGGTTCGCTCACCTCTCGATCCTGTCGCGTCTTTCTGCCGTGACAGGGGGAGGGGCTGGATTCCCCTCTCCCTGCTCCGATCTGCCAGTGCTGACTGGCGGAACGGACGGGGGAGGGGCGGGTACAGCTGGCTCTGCCTCTAGATAGGCAGATTAAGCTGTCACTCACGCAGCTGGGCGGAGCTCGACGTCTATGTCGGGATCCGCTGCGGCGTCTCAGTATACCGCGAGCTGTAGCTCGCGGTATACTGAGCTTAGGGTGACGGGAGGACGCTAGTTTGTGTCCTCCCGTTACCCTAAGGAGAACTAAACAGCCCCTCTGTTGAAGTTCTGGTTAGAGCAGTGGCAGTGTAGTGATTGTAATACTATTGGTGATTATTGTAATAGTAAATAAGACCTGCAAGGGGTGGCCTATTGTGCTTAACTTTTAGAAAGCCAACATAGTTTATAGAACTTTCTTGGACTTCTTTAGGTACACTTTAGGTTAATTTTGGGGATTTCAATCTCTTTAGCATGCCAGGTTCCTGTAATATATCAGTGAATTTCTGCAGTTCATGCTAGCAGTTTGTAATGGTGTTGATTATCTTTTAATTAGGAATGCACCGATACTAGTATCGGTGCCGATGCTGAGTATTTGGGCCAGTACTCGTACTTGCCCAAAAGCTCCTATGCCTAGCACGATACTTCTGGTATCAGGAAGCCGGGCAGCGAGTCATTACACGCTGCCTGGCTTCCTGATTGGCCGGGCAGCTGGCTTCATGCTCCCCTATCACAAGATGAGGGAGCATGGAGCTGGCTTCCTGGTCAATCAGGAAGCTGGGTGCTGCTTCATTACACAGCACCCTGCTTCCTGATTGGCCGGAAAGCTGGCTCCATGCTTTCTTGTAACCTAGTGACGAAGCATGGGGACAGCTTCCAAGCTAATCAGGAAGCCAGGTAGTGAGTCATTACACGCCGCCTGGCTTCCTTAATGGGAATTCCGGTATCGGTATTCAATATTGGCGAGTACTGAAAAAAATATTGGTACTGGCACAAGATACCGAAATACTGGTATCGCTGCATCCCTCCTTTTAATCTAACACCCCTCTCCTGCTGTCAACACTTGATACTAAGCTATTGGAAGGTTACTAAGTGGTGTCAGAGCTGTATGCACCACAAGACAAATGAGGTGTTTGCTTTGGGCAGCACTATCCATGGGGTGGCAAAAATGCTTCCCCTAAACCAGTGAGACACGGGGGCCAGACTGGCCATTGGGCATACCAAGCAATCGCCTGGTGAGCTGAGCCACACAAAATCAGGAATATTAAACAGCTGTGTGGCTGCCTAATTGAAGAGCTGCTGGGTGTAGAGGGAGCCCCAGTGTGATGAGGTCTGGTCAGCAGGTGGCTTGGGGTGGGCATGCAGTTTTATGGTGGAGAAGGCTGGGAGGCTGCAATGTGTCCTTTTGGTACTGAGAGCACTTCATGCTGCAGGTACCAGCACCACCACTTGCATGCAGGGAAAGGGACCCTGCATTCTCCCTGAGACACTGGCAGAAGTAAGTGTGCCCCTTTATCTAGCTACTGACAGGTTATGCAAAATGTCTTAAAGGGGAAGCAGTTGGGTACCTGTGCTTAGTCCTGCCAAGGGACATAAAACCAAACTACTCCACTGCCTGTTGTGTAAGGTCTAAGGGTGGTAGTGTCGGAAAGGGGCGTTTTAAAGTATATTCATTTCAATCTTTTCATGACTTTGAAGATCAAAGGAAATTAAAGATGGGTTCATCTAATTTTATTTAATGTAACATTTGTAAAACCAACTATACTCAATGCAATCTGCATTATTGTAGCTCTCTGTATGTAGACCTTCCTGTATAACGGCTTAGGTCTAGAAATCAGCAAAACATAACCATGGGTATTGTTTCAGTACGTCATGACTGCTGCAGCAAGTGTCATTCTTTAACTCATAAACAGGCAAGCTCCAAATTTATTAGCTTGAACAACCTTAAAGGAGAACTATGAGGTGAGTGCTTTTCACTCACCTCATAGTTCTAGCCGACCTGTGACAATGAGACTGTCACAGGTTGGCTCAGTAGATCGGGAGGTGAGCGAATACATACCGGAGTTTGCTCCCCTCTCGATCCTGTCACGGCTGGATTCCCCCCTCCCCGCTCCGATCTGCCAGCGCTGACTGGTGGAACAGACGGGGGCGGGTACAGCTGGCTCTGCCTCTAGATAGGCAGAGCCAGCTGTCAATCACGCAGCTGGGTGGATCCCGGCACAATTGTCGGGATCTGCTTCAGCTGCGGCTTCTCAGCATACCGCGAGTTACACCTCGTGGTATACTGAGCCTAGGGTGACGGGAGGATGCCAGTTTGTGTCCTCCCGTTACCCTAAGGAGAACTATGGGGAAAAGCCTTAACCCCATAGTTCTCCTTTAACTCTGATATCTTTGTGTGATTTATTACCAAGGTTTTGTGATGTCTCATACCCATCAAACTTCACACAGCACCGTTGGCTCTCCTTGCATCTGTCTTCTGCCTGTGGTTGTGATGGCGTTTGCGATCAGTGGCCTTTTTGCTGAAGTCATCATGTATAGTGCATGACCAGCAGCTGCCACTGGATCTTCATTATATGTGATAATGTGAAGTTCCAGCCCCAATTATGAGCTGCAGCCTAGAGGACCAGATTTAGAGTCAATGGAATTATATTCTTTGTTGTACTGGCCCTGGAAAATTACAAGTGGGGTAGGGGGAAGGGTAGCAATTCAATTTTTTGTAGCAGTGCCTAGAAGGCCACTTTAATTATTGTTGTGTAAGGCCCCAGTCTGACTGACACACGTAACCATTAACCAAAGACAGAGGATCGTCTTATCAACAAGCAACTGCCAATAAAAGAAAAACAGACTTAAACCCCAGAGCAGGCTGCTTCATCTTTCATATCCTAGGATCAATATATGAATATCCCAAGGGGGTGATGGACTAGTTTTTGGTCGGTTACTCTTTCATGTATAGCATTTATTAAAAATTCCATATTCAAAATTAGAGGAAACAAATTAAAAGTCCTGCCAACCAAAAAAAGAGAAAAATATATTCAATGTCCAATATTTTTAAAATGGAGGAAAATATTTGAAGTCCTATGTACTCCAATGGAGTGAAAATATTTTAACAAGCAGAAGAGATTACTTCTGAAGTAGTAAGACAAGAAGACATGTTAGTAAGAGGTGGCAGGAGCTCGGAGGATAAAATGTTTGTCTAAAACTAACAAAACAAAAAAAAATAAAACGAACATGAGATCAAATCTCAGAGCAGACTGCTTTACCCTTCATAGCCCAAGACCGATGTCTGAACACTCAAGGGGTAACAGGCTAGGGCACAGTAAAGTTTTTGGCCACTTAATGTTGGGTACGGTCATATTTTTGATAGTTAAATATAATTTAGAAAATAGAGATTTTCAAAGTCCAATTATAAAAAAAAACATAAATACCTCCATCCAGAAGAGAGGAAAATATTCTAATTCCCATATCTCCCATAGAGGAGGAGTATTTGAAGTGAAAATAAAGTACTTCTGCAGTAGGAGAAGGAGACGGAGACATCTTGCTTCCGAGAGGTGGCAGTAGCTCAGTGGATAAGAGTTCTGTCTGAAAGAAAAATTAATATACATATACAGACATGAGATCAGATCCCAGAGCAGACTGCTTCACCTCTCATAGCCAAGGACCAATGTCTGAACACACTGCTGGTGTGACAGGCTAGGGTCAGAAAAAATATTCTTAGCCCCACTATCTAAAATAAAGAAAAACTTGTTTGACGTCCTTTTATCTACAATAGAGAAAATATTTACCAAGACAAACCAGATACATTAAAGTACTTCTGAAGTAAGAGAAGGAGAACCTCAGCAACCAAGAGGTGGCAGTAGCTCAGAGGATAAGAGCTCTGCCTGGAAAAAAACCAAATGCATGAGATCAAAGCACACTGCTTCCCCTTTCATAACCCAGGACCCAGATGTCTGAATACCCCAATGGGGTGACAGGCTAGGGTGGCAGTAAAGTTTTGGTCCACTAACATTTCAGGTAAGTTTATATTTTTAAAAGTTAAATATAATGACAAATAGAGATTTTCAAAGTCCAATTATATAAAATTAAATTTAAAAAAAAGTACCTCCATCCAGAATGGAGGAAAATATTCTAATTCTCATATCTACCACACAGGGTGACTATTTGAAGTGAAAATAAAGTACTTCTGAAGTAGGAGGAGGAGGAGGAGACATCTTGCTTCTGAGAGGTGACAGTAGCTCAGTGGATAAGAGATCTGTCTGAAAGACAAATGAATACAAACATGAGATCAAATCCCAGAGCAGACTGCTTCACCTCTTGTAGCCTCCAGGACCAAAATAAAGAAAAACTTCCTTTGAGTCCTTTTATCTACAATAGAAAAAAATATTTTCTAAGATGAACCAGTCAAAATAAAGTAAGAGAAGGAGAACCATGGCAAACAAGAGGTGGCAGTAGCTCAGAGGATAAGACCTCTGTCTGGGGGGAAAAAAAACCACAGACATGAGATCAAAGCACACTGCTTTGCATCTCATAGCCCAGGACCAATGTCTGAATACACAAATGGGGTAACA